GGAGAGTCCTCGTCAAGCCCATGCCCTCTGCATCGCCTCATCATCCCATTTCATCTCCACTATAGTTCTTGCCTGCTCCCCCCATGCTCGATCTGTCTAACCTGTTCGTTGGCTTAACATTTCCTCTCCTGCTTTCCTCTCCTCTCCACCATCTCTCGAACGCGTCTCTCTCTCCTGGGCGCTCCCTGCTCTCTCCCGTCTCTTTCCACGCTGCGTCCCCGGGCGACGTCTCTCGGGCGCCTCTTTGTTGTTGGTATTTGGGCTTCGCTACCTCATGCGTCCCGGTGCCTCTTTCGTCATGCTCCCTCTGCACTCGGGGCATCCCGTCCCCCTCTATGGTGCCGCGCGGGGGGGGGGGGGCCCCGGACCCCCCGCCCCCGGTGCCACCTGTAACGTTGTGCTCGGATTTGCCCTCGGCCTGTGTGGGGCCTGTAACAAGGCCCATCGTCGTTTCCGAGCAGTAGATAGAAATAGGAAAAAGATGGGAAAAGGGGCCACACAAGAGGAGCTGGGAGGGGAGGGGGCCCCAGAGGGGGGGGCGGGCGAGGCGAGGATGTGGGCTGCCCGATATGCGAATTTCGATGCCCCCTGCAAGGCCCGAGCCCAGGCCACTGTTTCGGGCGCGCATAACTTCTAACCGCAAACCGACGTAAACTCCGCCATGCACGGACCGACAAATGAAAGCGACCCCTGAATGGCTTCGCAGCATTCTTATCGTCCTGCATTGCAACATCACTTGCTATCCGCAACTACCTGCATCCCTGTGGCCCAAGCATAACCCCGTGCCCAAGCGCCCCGTGCCCCATAGCATCCCCAACATTCCCAACATCCTGGATTCCTTCGCCCCATCCAAACCATTGCATCCCACATAGAATAGCATCCATGCATCCCCACATCACAGCAATCCATGCAGCCTCTTGGTGAGTCATCTCGCAGCCTGCCCTGTTGATAACATCAGCCGCAGGTATTATAAGCAGTGAAGCCGCACAGATCGTAAACCGCTATTACTCCCTCGCGGGAGAAACCCCCTGATTTCGTTCATTATGTCAAAGGTCGGGCTTAGGCTTCAGTAGAGCATTAGAGTCGAATCACCACATTGACTGACACACCGCGTATTTACCGCCGTGCATCATTCACGCGCATAGCGCAGCAAGTTAACCGGTCTGTGGGGGGAGCGCAGTCTAATGCTGCACGAGGGGGGGCTATGAGAAGCCAGGTTTGGAAGCGGCGAGGAAGGCGGAGGGGAGGAGGAGGAGGGATGACGGCGGGGTTGCGCAGCAAGCGCGCCACACGGGCCCCTGCAGGTCCGTGGGGTGACCTGGACTCACGCGCGCTGGCCCGCGTTCTAGTCCCTCCCTCAGCTGCTCTCCTCCCACTGGCCGCCAGATTGTATTCAATAATTCGTGGCAAAGGGCATCCTCGGACCGGTTTCAGCGGCGCCAGATGGGGGTAGGGCCAGTGATATGCCCAATACCCATCCTCATAGGTTTCTCCCTATCTGTAGATATTCTTGTTTCCTGGCTAGTGGGCAAAAAGAAGCAGAGCGGCGTGTAGTGTGGCCTTCTATTGCTGCTAACGCTGCAGGAAGGAAAGTGCGTTGGCCCCGGTGTTATTGAATACGTGCTGTTCATACCCGGCTATTTTAGCCCAATGACGGTCGCGCTAATGGCGGGGTAAGAAGCTGAGTTGGGTGCCCTGCGTTGCCAGATTTGTTACCTGCAGGCAATGAACCCTCGAGACCCGAAATGAGACCTGAAAGCCCCGTATCCTATCGCTGGCATATATATATAGTATCGTATATATATATTATACTATATATATATAATATTATATTCGTGTATATCACCGGAGGCAGTAAGGTTTGGCGCCTGATGAAGTTTGCAAGTTAGTAATGTATAATGATGGCCGCGGTGGTGTTGTGACCAAGAGTGAAAAAGCTTCGCATTTAAGACTTTGTGATATACGACGTAGCTTATTTCATTTTTTTAGTCTGTCCGCACAGAGTAAAAGAAGGTAAGCTTGCTCATGTACCTGCTATCAGCGGCGAGCAGCAGCGTTAGCACTTCACTAACTGCCAGCGGTGATGAGCAATGCAAACGTCAGTATAAAGGGGCCCGCGGCGTAGCCAGGGGCCCACGGGGGGTTCGGAAAGAAAACGCGCCCACCTCCGCCCGCCCAAGCAAAAAAAATTTTGTTTTTTGAAAATTTGGCAAAATTTCACGTGCAGGTCGCTCTAGTGTAGTGTAATAACTGGGCTGCAAGAAATGCTCCATCGCGGTCGGGCGGAGCGTGAACAGAACACCCCCGGCGCGGCACCCTCCCCGCTCATCGGTTGCCTCGCCGTCCCTGTCGCCTTCGCGCAGCCAGAGGCGGGGGCTGTACATGGGGGGACGTCCCGGGATTCGACCCACTCCGCTTCGCGCACCGAAAACCTCATCTGCAGGGGTGTAATTTCTAAAAATTTCTGGGGGAGGCCGCGCCTAGACCCCCCCTTCGCGTGCTCTGCGCACTCGGGTTACGGGGTTAGGACCCCCCGCCTGGTGACAGAATCCTGCGTACACGCGGACCCTGCCGAGCAAATTGCCCATACATTGAAAAACGAAATCCCCGCCCCCATACAACTGGCTACGGCCTGAAGGGATACGAAGAAAAAATCTTTGCATGTGCGTGTGTGGACGTGTGTGCGTGCATGCGCGTGTACTTGAATAGACTACCCAGAAAAACAATCAATATTAGTATAGTTGAGGTGAACTTGATCGCAATATATAAACCTATGTAGCCTGTATTACCTAGAATATGGTCCTTCCGTTGCAGACAGAAATGATATATAATACGAGATGGACCATAGCTACGGGTTCCCATGGTTTCTAATATACTTGATAGGTTTAGCTATACGTTATTTTTTGTCGTTGATATATACTAGGCTATTTATAAATTTCTACGGTTGTTAATATATTTTGTAATTTCGTATGTCTAATCTATATCTATGATCTATCTATACACGTTTTTGTCCACTTTTGGAAATTTAAAAAATAATTTAATTAGAAACGTTTTCTTCCACGTTTCTGTATAGATATCAAGGATGGAAACTTGAAGCAATAACTAGTAGTCTTAGGGGCCTGTCACGCGTTTACAAAGCATGCAGGCAGAGAGGGGCAGGTAAGACGACGGGCGCTGCGTGGTCGCCGGCTACCACATCCCGCCCGTCCGTCTGCCGGACGGAGCACTGCGTCGTTCAACGGGCCGGGCAGCCGGATCGGCGCCTACAGTCCACTTACGCGACGTCGTACTCAGGTAACACTCTATTCGCGCTCCGTTTTTTTTACCATCATCGGATGAGTGTGATTATCACGTGCGTATGTTGTCGTTTTTCTCGAGTTTTAGCTCATCTACATAGTCAGATCAGCTTGTAGAATCGCATGATGCGCTCCGCGCGTGCGTGTAGAATGCTATACATGGCCTGATGTATGAGGCTACAATGTCACGAGTGAAATTCAAAAAGCTAATTTGCGTTGAAGAAGGTTTTATGCCCTCTTAAATCGTATAATTTCTATGGCACCTGTACTGTCAGTTGTGTGACATAACTTATGCCACTGCCAGTGCATTATTGGTGATAGTATTGTGTAGTTTTTGCCTGCGTTAATTGTTACAGGTGCAAGGTCTCTATTTCAGTCCTGTCAGCTTGCGTAAGGTAAAGGATGAGTGCTCTACCTATCTGCTCTTGCAAATACGTTGTTGCCTAACTCGTACCGAATGGAGCTTCCATCTTATCCTTAAGACAGCTAAACGGTGTTACTATGTTCTCCATGCATCGCGAATGTTGCGGGTGACGTCAGTGGTACCGCAGTGTGACTCAGCTGCTAGCCACCACCCATCAGAGCCAATCACCCGCCAGCTGCCCCATCGTGCATGATACGCGGCACATCCATGACCACATCATTTCGAGCAAACCCCCAAATAGCGGCAGCGTGCATATGGCGCCGGAGCTTTCTTCTTGGAGGTGGTGGGGTTCGAATCCCATCTGTTTATGATTTTTATTTTTCTATTTTTCTATCTTTATCTATTAACTATTTGTGTAGTGTTAGTGTAGTATTAGTGGTTAGGGTTTTAGGGTTAGGGTAAAAGTGGTTTAAAGGGTTAGGGTAGGTTAGGTAGCGGTTAGGGTTAGGTTCGCCCGCGGTGCGTGCCGTGACGTACACAACCGAAATTGCCGGATGGCATGGAAAACATATATCCACCACTTAAAACGTAACGCGCTATCGTCCGTGGCAACTTTGCATAACGATCAAAACGAACATTCTTTTGAGAGGTTTCCCTGATACCACGCGCTGTCTCCACTGTTTCGGCGGGCGTATGTGAAACACATTTGGGACCTAACAGGTTATTCTATTAGCTAGAATCCTACCACTCACCACACGAGTCACGGCGCAGTAACGACGTTAGATGTGCGCTGTCGCCCGCGGCACTTGTTTGTTTAGTGTTATGTGTCGCAATATTTGAAATGATTAAAAAGGGTGTTCGTTTTTTTTCGAAGCAGAGATGTATTTGATTAGTATTTGGGAAAGTGAGCAGCGCCGAGAGACTAATAGAAGAGAGAGAGAGAGCGAGAGAGAGAGAAGAGAAGAGAGAGAGAGAGAGAGAGGAGAGAGAGGAGAGAGAGAGAGGAGAGAGAGAAAGGGAAAGAGAAAGAGAGAGAGAGAGAGAGAGAGAGACAGAGGAGGGAAGGAAGATAAAGCGTGCTTGTGGGAGGGGGTAGGAGGAAAGGAGGTATGGAGGGGGCGAAGGGCTCGAACATGTGTCGCGATATTTGAAGTGACGGCACCTTGTTTTACACAGGATTAAATATTTCAAGAGAGGTGTATTTCATTCGTGATTTTGAGAGAGAGAAAGAACGAGACAGGGCAAAGGGGTTAGAGTGATACAGGAAGGGAGAGAGAGGGGTAAGGAAGGGAAGAGCGAAAGAAAGGAAGGAGAAGGAAGGAGGGAGGAATGGGAAGAGGAAGGTAGAGGAGGAAGGTTAGTAGGAGAGCAGACAGAAAGGGAAAAGATTAGACAGGAGAAATTTCATAATATTTTGATAGGTTCTAATAGCATTCTGAAAACAGAAAAACCAAAACATAATATAATATATTATATATATATAAATAAATACATGTATATATTTCGTAATTGTATCGGCGTTCAATAATTTGGTTACCATAGGTGGCACTGTCAGCGACCCACTCTGTGACCATGCGCAGAGCCGATATTTTACTAGTAAATGAGAGCCGCTTGTCAGTGGCTGTCATTGGGCGACCGCGTCTCCTGCGTTGTCCCGGCTTCCGGCGTCCGCGGCTTTAGTAGTTATTGTTAATGTTATTCCATCAACAATGTGAAATTATGGCGAATTGTGGATAAACAGTGGCAAGGCCGCGCGCACTGCAGCGATGGTGCAGAGAAAAGGTATCCAAAGTTCATATCATAACTAGAAGGAGAAGTATCTGCGTGATGGCTATTAAGGGATGCGCTACGTTAACTAGGTACTAAGGTAGATGTGTAAACACACAACAGGCTGAACAGTGTCGATCCGATGTGATCGACGTCGAAGCGCAACGTCTCGTTACGTTATGTTTCCTAGTATGGACTCTTAAAGGATGCGTTTAGCTAGTTCTCCGGGTCTTTTTCAGTTAAGTTTAGGGTTAAAATTACGCTACATAAAAAGTTCAAGTTCAATCTCACCAATTAAAAATATTATTAAAAAGTGTTTTAAAACTACGACTACAAGTTTGATTACAAACGACACGGTGGCGCGCACTGTCAAAGCGCACGGATCTGATAAGTTGCGCAAAAACCACTTTCGCAGCCGAAGGCTAGCAGACCGAGAGTGTTTTTATTTATTTCATTAAAAGCAACAGAATTGTAATTATGGCTTATAAACGACATTAAGTTTCAGTTTAATATGGATTAAAATTTGCCCTAAATGAATTATCGTTTCGTTAAATAGGCGATTTAGGTATAAATATAATTGTACTTTGTGTGATTTAGCCCTCGGTCCTGTTACACGTGGGCAAATATAATTGATCAAATACGCAAACTTTGTTTCGGGGCTGCAGCACGGTCGCGGGTGGTCATGGTGCCGGTTCAAATTCGTAGCATTGATGTGGTTTAATTATAACAATTAAAATTAGTACCTGGTAAACGAATACGTGTGTATATGACGATTTGTTATACAGTAAGTAGCAGTTGTATGCCCCAGTCAAATATGTCTAGAGGCTACTCGTCGCCTTAAGATTACCATACTACGAGATTACGGCGTAGCCGATAGTATTACTCATACAATGCGAACATGGCACAATCTCCAAGAGTCAAGGGCGGAATCAGAAAGAGCGGGGGGGGGGTGATATTTGAGTGAAAGGCGTGTCAATAGGCACGCGGTGCTGAAGGCTGGTCCGGCAATTTTGAAAAATATAGATGCCCCTTTCTCCTGCATTCTAAGGCAATTTTAGAATAAATCAGGAAACTCTAATGTTTTAAGTCAACGTTTTCCAACACAATAAACAATGAAACTGAGCTGTGTACAACAGAAATACAAATGACATAAAAGAATTGAAAAACACATTGTGCTCCAATCCCAACACAAGAGCTACAATAATAAAATAGGTTGACTCAATTAGAACGAGAGTAGTGGGTGCGGTAGGATTTTAGTGCTCCCCCCAGTGTGACAGGAACTGACGGCTCATAGGGTCTATGCTCCTGCCCCAGGTACTGCGGAACGTACCCGGTAACTATCTGATAACTGGTAGGGTTAGGTTAGGGTTAAGTGTTAGTGAGTTGGCGTAGGCGACTCCCTAAGACTCGTTACGTGGAGTTAGGGAGGTACGGTCGCGGCATATTAGATAGTCCAGGTAACGTTGTCCGGATACGCGAAGACCGTACCCAGGGTACGTTCGCGGCAGTACCGCTGGGGGACATAGACCCTCTCAGCGGATCTGACCAGTTCAGGCAGCTGTGTGGGCAGGCAGTAAACATCCCCATTTTATATCTGCCGCAGCACCGACTTTTTATTTTTTGGCCCTATTAACTAGTATTCATAACATAGTTCAGTTGCTGAACGGGGGGTGGACCCCCCCCCACCCGATCCTATGTCCCCACTGACAATCTCTAGTAGTAGTACTGGTGTAGCAGGTCAGTGTGACGCATGTACCTATGGGGTGCTGTGTGTGTGGCCTGTGTAGGTAAGTACAGTAGGAACCCGATTATCCTTATTTCTACATCCGAAGAGGGGGTGAAATTTGTTTGGCATATAGGCCTAGGTATACATTATTTCGGCGTGTGACGGATACACACTGGAAACTTCTGTTATGGTGAGAGATAATGTTTTTTCTTTTTCATACGATTGAATAAAAAAACAATATACAAGTAACAATAATTAATTAAAGATAACAATAAAAAAGCATTAGTCGACAGTAATCTGTGATGTATGCGTGGGAAATTCGCTGCGCTTCCTGTGATGGTAAAAACTATAAATTTGGTGGTGAATCATCGATCGAGTGCACTGCACTTGAGGCCGGTTATCAAAAAAATAAATGCTAAAATAAATACCGCAAATCTATTTACACCAAGCTCTGTTTCTCTAATCCCTGCTTCGCCTAATTAATTGGCCGACAATTTCTGTAAATGTCGTGCAACTGCTCCTCTGCAACACACCCGATGTACACCGCATGTGTTCAGTGTGTGCAGCGTGCGTGCGTGGTACCTGTGTGTTTGGCAGAGGAGCATTTGCACGGCATTTACAGGAAATTTTTCGGCAATAATAGGGAAGTAAGTAGAAGGAACATTAAGACTTTTGTAGGCAAATAGATTCGCATTAAATTTAGCATTATAGAGTTTTATTGAAAGCTCAATGTGCCTGTGATCGGTGTGGCTATATGATCTGAGAGTTACTAAACAGTATACCACGCTAAGTCCCAGGGGCCAAGAGTAATTCTTTAAAATAGTGACGTGTAGGCTGTATTGTCGAATTTGGCATGCTGCGATTCTGCAACGCCGTTACCAAGCAGCAACTGTCTGTATGCAAAGCAGCTGGCTTATTGTCTAGATTATTTAACAATAGGCTGAGATTTGTTCCACCATGGCCTGATTGTTATTAAGTGGGCAAACTCTTGTAAGTACTTACGTTACACCTGTGGTAGTAGTTATTTAGGGCCACGTGTAAAGTTTAATACCGCAATAAGCTGTTTTCCCTAAAGCTATTGTTGTAGTTTAATAGTTCATTGTAGAAGTGCCATACAGTAAGTCCTGGAAGGGCAATACCTAATGGCTGGGTTTAGCTTCCCATGAATCGTAGTCACAAATCATGCAAGGGCTTTTCTGATTATAGTAATCCTTTGTTGAATCAACTTTCCTCAAACAACTACTCGAGAAATTACTTAAGCCTAATAAGGCTAAATTGATCTGTAGGTAAAGTCTTCAATCAGGTTAAATTAAACTGACAAAAAAAGTTGAGGCACTGGGCATAGTAGGGCTAGGACACATGTGGCAAGCTATGCGGGGATGGGGCCAGAAATGCTGGCTGATATAATTGTTGTGATACCGGTCGCTTAAAAATCTCTCTCTCTCTCTCTCTCTCCCTCTCGTTCTCTCTCTCTCTATCTATATCGCTATCTGCTATCTGCTTCTATATTCTCTAGCTCTCCTCTGTCCTCTCCTCATCGCTTTCTCCGCTGCTCCGCTTACCTCGCTTCAACACCCCTCTCTCTCTAAGCTCACTCGGCTCATCTCCCCTCGTCTCTCTTCTCTACCATCCTTCTCTGGCTCTCTCCCTTCCTCCCTCGCTCCCCCTCGCTCTTGTGTCGAACACATATCGAGGAGGGAGACTCAGAGGAGAGGGAGGACTGGCGATTGGCGGTGGGGGGACGGAAGAGAGCGAGAGTCATAGATAACAGTGTTATACATTTGAGATTGCAACACTTATATAACACCAACAACACTTATATAACAGGGAATCAGAGAGTGAATGAATGTGGTAAAGTCCTCTCGTCCTGTCCTCTTCATTTACGCTCGTCCAATCACAGAGCACACACAGCAATGGCTTCTAAACACAGCTGGTGCTGCAGCATGTCTCAATGGAAGCTTAGCTTTACATTAGACGCCATTTTTTGTTATTACGATAATTTTATAGCTATTTCTTACCATTTCTTTTGGTACGTGTGTTTGTGTGGATGGGAGTTAATAGCTGACAGTACTACAGTGTGCTACATTTCATTGCGTGCTGCGAAGTGTAGATGTGTAGAAGTGTAGGTTTATCGACAGATCGAGTTCCCATAGGTTTTATACTGCATTTGGTGTTTTAATATCACCATATATTGTAGACCACTCACTCATGGCCGATTGCTTCGAACAGTAATGTGTCATTATGAAAAACAAGTGTGTTGCAGATTTTACTACAAATGTCTAGTGTGTACGTTAATCATGATCTTTATAACTAGCTGTATAATCAAATTTCATATTTATTTATTTGTTATAATTTATACCGTAACAACATGCAGTTACGGATACGCATGCACGCACGTACGCATATACACACACATGCATACACGTATACATATGCACATGCATGCAGGCCCACATGTATGCATACATGCACTTGTATATTGCATATCAGATAGAGCACCATAAGTTTCATGCCATTATTTTTATCATGTCTGTGTGAATCGTGCGTAAAAACTGAAAGACGTCCATGTACTAATTAATCTATGATCTTTGTATTTCGTGTTAACGTAATAAATTTATTTGTTTTCATTTCTCTCTCAGGTCACCATTCGTCGGCGTCCTCCCCGTCGCGAGTGCTACAGAGCTCGCCCTCACACTCGCTGCATTCGCCCGCCCATGGTTCTCCCGCGCACGCGAAGCTGCAGTCGCCTACGCCACCTAGTGCCACACCGAGTCCCTATTCGACGACGTCGCTGCAGACTCACAGAGTCGAAGTGAAGAACACGGAAATGCTGTCGAGGTAGGTGACGCCTACACTCGCTGTCAGTTGGAATTACCGCGCTGCATGGCGTCAGGTGTTTGAGCAGGATATTCGAGGCGGAAAACCCTGTTGTGATTTTCATGCGTCTGTTGGAGAAGGGAAAATATGGTATACATTATCGTTCATAGGTGGAGGCACTATACAGTTCAGTATTCGCTGTGATTTTAATGGGTACTTTATATAGTCTCTAGCAAAGTTCAGATGATATCATAAAAGGACGATAATCAAACGATTATGCAAAGACATTGATGATAATTAAGCATTAATATCTCTGATGTAGCATCATGCACATGGAATGTCTAGAAATAGGACAATCATAACTATAATGTGGGCACAGAATCATTTCAACGTTTGGGTTATATATAGGATTGACTATAATTGAGATTTTTTTTATCCAATCATTAGAGAGAAGTTCAGTAGGATATCTTTACATAATTTCATTCTGCCTGCAAATTGCTGCTACATAATAATTGGTTTCACATGTGCAGATTTGTAGAGAAATGGGAAAGCTAGAAAAGGAGAGGGAGAGTGGGTTAAAAACTGAGTGTGAGATGGAGAGAGAGAGAGTAGGAGAGGGAGAGCAAGAGAGAGAAAGATATATGGAGATCGATAGAGAGGGAGAGAGAGAGAGTGAGAGAGGAGGAGAGGGAGAGCAAGAGAGAGAAAGATATATGGAGATCGATAGAGAGGGAGAGAGAGAGAGAGAGAGAGGGAGAGAGAGAGAGAGAGAG